ACGTGTCGCTTGGCCTCAGGTACTCGTACGAGTGGCTTGCGGCTGAGCACCTGCCTAGGTGCTCTGCGAAGCCAATAGCGCCAGCTTCAGCTTCCGCATGTCTGGTCATACGCATCTAGCTTAACGTTCATCTCATCACGATCTTAGATTCCCTTCCATCGGTCTGGTACGTGGTCGCGGCCAAAGTCGCTTCCGTGTTGCTGTCACGGAAGGCTGGGTCTCAGCTTTCGGCGTCCGCGTAGCGTCTGGCTAGACAGCTCCTTCCACACCACCAACCTTCTCGTATGCGCTTCCATACACTCTGGCCTCGATGATTCCCAATTGTTCGTTCCAGTATGGAATCGTGGGGTCGCAGCAACGCATTAACTGTCATCTGTCTTTCTACGCATGCAAAGATCTCCCATCGGAGACATGTCGGCTTTTGAAACCGGGGTAGGACATCTTGACCGAACACGCTTTTCTAAAGGCATGTCGAGACGAGGATATGTAGCAACATTTACAGTTTCCTAGGAGAAGCACAACATTCGTTCGTGATCCCGCATCGCACTCTCTGGTACGCGTCGTGGCGTCCCAAAGAAGCACGGATCGCCGGTGGTGGGCCCAGAACCTCCCCCCACCAGATTTCCTGCCAAACGTCAAAGTCTTGGTCGTTCGGTCGTGGTGCAACACCGGCTTGAGGTTTCCCATGCCATCGCAGCCTGCTCCCCACACATCCTGGACGGAATCCTCCGCCCCGCCTCTTGGCCGCCCGTCCCCATAACGGAGAGCGGCCTTCGCGTTTCGCCGACCGTCTGGAGTCCGTCAGTACCAACGGTAGCCTTTCATGCGCAGGGCAAATGATTTCCCTGGTCTCCCGGACTTCCCTGGTCAGTTGACTCTAGCTGCTCTGCTTTGCCGCTTAGTTGACATGCCCTGCGCCTCGCATCCACCATGGCTCGCGTTCGGCATTGTGCTGCAGCCACTAGAGCCTTAGCTCTTCGCGTGACATTGCTTACCCTGCCTTTCCACGATGCGCTTGCAGAAGACCGCCCTGTTTGTTCTAGCCCAGCCCGCGCTACACTTGCGCCAAGCCACTGAGTCCTCTGGACGAAGCGATGCGTGTCAGCTCAAATCTTGCGCTGCCTGCGAGCGATGGGAGACCCTGTGACTTGCCTAGATGCGGTCCATGCAACCGCCCATGTCACTGAATTTGAATGCGCCGTCCAGGACTGACGCCAGCGTACCATGGCTGGAGACGGCTGCATGCCTACAAGAGCGCCAGTAGCCCTCCCTTCTTGCCTTACACTCCGCTTTCACCTCGATCTGCAATACCCAACTACATTCTATACAAGCATTGAGCAATCAGCAATCTCGCCATATATACAATCATCTGAATCGCCAACAGCATAAAATTGCCTGTTTCCGGCGATCTCGGTACCCTTGACTCAGCCTATCCAGTCTCTCGGATTCGCGCGGCGCCTCCGTGATCAGCGCCTGAACCCTACGTACCCCTACGCGTTCTTGCGTAAGGTCAAAATCGTCACACCTGTGGCCGTTGTCCTTTTGTTTTTAACGGCAGGGTCCTACGAGCATCTGCCTCAAGAAGCCTTCCTCTGCCCGCAAAACCTTTCGAGTATCAGCAACAACCTTCTCACACTCCTACCTTGACCCTCACACAACACCTTCACACAATGGACGCACCAATGATCGAGCTCAAGTCAGCCCTGGCCTCGTAAGTTACATCCTTCTGTCCCTCCAACCCAGCTAAGTCTGTTAGACTGTTTGCATGCGGACAATACTCAGATCTGACCATTGTTTGTGGTGCCAAAAGATACCCAGTACACCGTATCCTCCTCGCAACAAGATCCACCTTCTTCGAGGGAGCCTGCCGCAATGGCTTCAGGGAAGCAGAAACCGGAGTGGTTGACCTCAGCGAAGATGACGCAGAAGCTGTTGAACACATGGTGCACTGTACGTATTGCATGAGGCGATGGGACCCTAGACTGTGCTAAAGCTTTCTAGACTTCTACCACATGGACTACCTCACCAAGAAGTCACTCTCGCGCCGATCCTCACAGCGATCGAACCGACCTACCTCTCTACGATCATCGATTACCAAGAGGAGAAGCCCCCCAAAGAAGCTGAACCTGGTCCAAGTCGAAGACCCGCTCCTCGCACTTATGGCAGCAACCAACAACTCAATGCCGCTGACTCCTCCCGCCGACGAGCCAATGTTTCAAAGCATCGATGCATCCTCCAAGCTGCCCGACACGCCGATGGCCGATCAGTTCTTCGAGGATGATGATCTGGAAAGCGAGCAATCAGAGACTGAGTTCGACATTGAGACGACACATCTCATCACACATGCCAAGGTCTACGCCATCGCTGAGAAGTAAGTACTACCATTCTCTCGTCATTGTTTACTTTTCTACGTTTTGCCTGAATGCGCGCCGCGATTTGCGGGGTTGCTTCATCTGCGCCTGCAGCTCTACCTCCCATGACTGGGGTGTGCAGCGCGTGGCACGGCGGTTGAAACGCCGACAAACTCCGCCATATGCGTCACCGGCACTCTACCTCGCCAATCGCACCCCGCGCTGTACACCCCACTGTACCTTTGCATACACAGCCCTTTCGTCTGTTTTTCTTGTGTACGATTTCAAGATGCACCAATTACCTACTATGGTCCTTGGGCCTCCATGGCTGCATCTTCGAAACAGTCCGCGTCAGCGTACTACTACTCCCTCTCCAATCACGCACCCATCTTTCATCACACCTCCTCTGGAACTTTCTTGCTAACGGTTTATGGCAGGTATGGCATTGCAGGCTTGAAAGCGCTTGCGCGTAGCAAATTTGCAGAGGAGGTTGACCTGCACCTCAGCAGTGCCGACTTCCCAGAGGCCTGCCAAGAGGCGTACGAGTCTACCTACCACACTGACCGTGGTCTGCGAGACGTCATCATCCAGACCTTCCGTGCCAACCCCAGCCTGTCGCTGCGACCCGATGTCGAGATGGCCGTGCGAGAAACACCAGGTCTTGCTTTCGAACTCTTCCGTATGGCAAGCGGACTTCCTGTCTCTTCCTGAAGGGAATCCCGTCACAGTCGTTCCCGCATCGAGCCAATCATCGCTGCCCCGCAGTGTGCACCAGTATCTGCATCGCCGCTGCAAGCATACGACTCAACTCTATGTTGAATCTCGTCATCTATCTGTGTAGAATCCTACGCGCGTCCAAGACCGGGATTGTCCTGCGGGTGGTACGCAGCCGCCACACAAAACGTCTGTCTTGGCTAAGACAACGTGTTTCACGACAGTGCTGCAGTCAACCGTCGACGTGATGCGGGGTCAGCATGTCTTACCAACCTTATCGAGCCGCGCATCCGCGTAGTTCAACGTCACACCCGGTGTGCTTGAGCCAATGGCTTACTGACTCTGCTCATTGGCAGTCTGTTTCTTTCTTTCTCGAGAACTTTTGTAGTACTTTTAGCGATACCAATGAGCGATCTTGTATTTTTCTCTTCATAGTTTCAACATCATGAATATATCCATTGTAACATCTGGTCTACCCCGATCTTAAGATCAGTCATATCACTGTGTATTAATACCCAATGTCTAGGCGCGAATGGTCCCGAGGGGCAAACACCACAAAGATACGTCATCCCAACTTACAAGTTTTACCATGCCGATAGCGTTTGCGACACTGCTATTTCCATCAACACGGAGTTGCCAATCGCCGCGGCCGTGCTCTACACGATAAAGATAGAAACTGTCAAAGGAACAGCCTTTGCTACAGCCCGCAACATGGTCTACACAAGAGCCGAAGATCGCGCTGATCAGCCACCACGCGGCTTACACGTGAGGTGTTTCGCTCACTTTCTTCCCTTTCCCGGGATATGTATACAAGCCATACCAAGAGATCTACAAACGTTTTCGGTCCGTTCCTCCTCCTCCGATGTTGCCTGCAGAGGGGTGGGGACGGGATCTACATTGCTTACCGATCTTGTGGCTTTGAAATCAGAGGCGCGATAGAGTTTTGTAGTGTTTGTGCGATATGTTTGTCCGGATCACGGTGGTGGATTGCTTGGTGGCATGGTGGTGAGAAGACAGGGGTCAGTGTGTGTATTTGGTCGGTTTTGCGAGGACTTTGATGGTGGGCATCGGTGTATTGTTTATGCGTTAGACTTTGGTTCTTTTCTCGAATGTTCTGCGGGTACATCATGAATGCTTGTGAGCTGGAAGGTTTTGCGGTGTATGGGATTTCGATATATCGACTATGACACGCAGATATCGCGTTTTACTAGGACAGGGGGCCGTAGAATAGTGAATGGCATGGGTGAGTTCATTGTGTCTTGTTTCTGCTGACTTATGTACACTCTTGCCGATGATTGCGATACGGGGAAGGATGGGTTACTACAACTATCATCGCCATTAGGCGACTGTCGTTAGGAGCTCGCTAGCCATCCTGGAAATCGAAGTGACACTGGACTGTTGGGGTGGCAGGTTCCATGACATGCGGTCATTTCAGTGATGACGAGCGCAGTAAGGAGGCGCGCTGCTTTCAAGGAACAGGAGAGGTTGAAAGCGATAATATCTGTGCCTAGATAACACAGGGATATGGGAAGAGCTGGAAAAGGTAGTCAGAGTGAGCGTCGTAAGGATTGCATCGATCGAGTATCGTCATATCCCATCATCGTTGCCCTTTTCTGCCATTCGACGTAGTGTTGTGGAGTGACGATGTATTTGATCGGTAAGCCTCGAGTATTAGACCACGTGTGTATCGAGAGTGGCATGCGATGATGGCCGTGTTGGCAGCGAGGTGTGGTTTGCGGTATCGGAGTCGACGCGCCGTTTGCGTGCAATCTCACTCATCGTTCATACCTCATCGCGCCCTTTCACTTCGCGAACTTTTGTATCCGATGCTGCAAACTCTTCACAGGCACGATACCATCTCCATCTCTTGTGAGAACCTTGCCTGCGTGACCAACCTTAGCCAAGACCGATAACCTCAACCCACCGTCAATAGAAATGAATGCTCCAAAGGGGACTCCGATGCTAACAGATTTGTGTGTAGATGAACCGGCCGTCGCTGACTCGTTTCCGTTGAAGAGGCTCCCCGACGAGCTCCTCCTCCAGGTCGTCGCCCAAGTCCCCGAAGTCGATCTTCATAACCTCAGCTTGGCTGCCAGACATATCGGCTCCATGGCGCAGGAGGCACTCCATCGATACCCCACGATCTCTTACACCGACAATGCCATGCCGCGACAAATTGCCCGACTGGCTCGCACCCTCTTCAGTCGTCCTGACCTAGCACGCGCAGTAGCCCAACTCACGCTGCGGCCCATCATCCATCTTGTCGAGATCCCATTCACCACATTGTCCGCGGCTGGCAATCCAGTACTCCAGGGCTTCTTCCAGCACACACGCGTGTATATGGGCGAGACACAGATTGCGGCACTCCTCTTTGCTTCTCTCCCGAACTTGAAAGAGCTCGATCTGCAAATCATCTCCAACGGTAGCCTGCATGAGCTCGACAGCGGTCGTTATGGCCATGCATGTAGCGTACAGTGCAGGCTTCCAGTCAAGGCTGGGTCACACCCCCTCGATATCGCCATGAACCCAGGATTGAAGGCGCTCCGGAAGCTGCATCTGCATGCTCGTCATATGAGCTGGGATTGGCTGGCGTTGTCTTCCCTGAGGGCTGTCACCCTTGGCCTTCACTGTAGCGTCGATTGGGATACTGCATCAGCAGGTGTCTCCATGGTCGAAGAACTGGTGCTGAATCTGACCACCGAGGTCTTCCTTAACGACGACCGGAGATACAAAGATCTACCCAAACTCTTTCAGCGAATGCCCTGCCTGCGATCGCTCACCATCAACATAAGCAACAAGTGCTTAGCTCCAGGGCCAAATCAGATCGAGGCTGATATTCTTGGGAATGATGCGCGGGGAAGCATGGAAATCCTCATCGAAACTATGTCTGCAGTATCGCAGACACTAGAAGTGCTGTGCATCAAGAAAGCCGGCACAGATGCGCATTGCTTCAAGTACCTGGAGCCGGTAACAAGCCTGGCCCACTTCAACCAAATGAAGCACCTTCAAATACCCATTGAAGGAGTTTTGGAGCGTGGCCTGGTGTCGAGGAAGAGAATTGGGGAGATACTGCCAGACAGGCTTGAACAGTTGCGCCTCTCAGGCCTATCTGTAGAAGCCATGAAGAGGTTGGAAGATGTGTCCTCGGAAGATGCTAGTCTGGCGTTCCCGGCCTTGTCGGGATGATAGAAAAGGGACCGACTGGCGATAGATACATAGAAGACATGAAGACTAATAGATCAGTACACCAGATGGCCGGGAGGTTGTCAGAGTCGAGATGTTGATTATGCGCATCCGTGATAATGGGCAGGGGTCATCCAGGCTCCGGTTTTGTCGACGGCGTCATCGTACGGAAAGGTCGTGAATGCCTCTTGGGTAGGCTGAGAGTTTCTGTCGGGAACGCAGAAAAGATTCGCTATCTAACCGGCGGGGAAGAGTATGATATAAGACGGTGTTGGTCTTGGGGACCCGACGACGCCCTAGCGCTAGCGTGGTTCGCGCTGACACCTGCATGCATTAATTCTCCGGACCCGAACAGCTTCACGTTGCGTCATTAGTAATGCAGTATTTCGCTCCCTGCGCAGCACTGCTGCATGTGGTAAAGTCTGGAGAGCACATCTATCGCTTATCTGTTCAAGAAGGGGCTGCTGGCGAGCCACATTCGTGCCCATGCGTCGCGTCGGCGTAATCTCACGATGGACGCGTCCAACGCGTCGCTCCTCCCTCGAGAACCTCGAATTCAAGCTCACCGATGTGTAAAATGCCTTTCAGTTGTCCGCCTCACATCCTCAGGTAAGTTCTCCGCACCACACTTACGCGCCCACGGCAGCATCCGTATCCGCCTCTGACATAGTTTAGGGCTTACAAGAATGGTGACTTCACCGACTTAGTTATCAGCTGCGGCAACTCGACATTCGATGTGCATTCCGTTGTGGTTGGCTCAGCATGCGAGTTCTTCGCGAATAATATCAAATTCGCCGGAAAGGTCAGTCCGCAGCGTTTCGCGCCAACCTCCCGTATTGACATTGGACAGGAAGCTGATGAACGACGTATCGATCTGCCGGACGATGATCCAGACATGATCCGACGCTTAATCGCTTACCTGTATCTGGGTGACTACGATCCCACCGACGACATTGGCATCGCCGCGTTCGAACAACTCAAGCAATATGACCTCAACACAGCAGCGGCGCCCGCTCACCACCCCCGCCGATACGCATTTGGAAGCTCTCAGCGTCATGATCAATGCGCTTGCCTCGCGTTGAACCTCAAGAATATCGAGCAGTCGGAAATGAAAATAGAGCAGCAGAAGAAAGCGTCCCAATACGTCAGCCACCGAAAGCCCGACAACAGCATCGAAATCACCAGTCCGCTTACAATACACGCGAGCATGTATGCGCTCGCTGATAAATATCAGGTGAAGGGGCTTAGCCGACTTGCAAAGACCAAGTTTCGCGAGAGCCTGGATCACCACGTTGATTCCGAAGACTTCATCGCCGCAGTACAACTTACGTACAGCAACACCCCAGAGACTAACCGCGGTCTTCGAGACGAGATAGTGCAGGCTTTCCGGACATATTTTAAGGTGGACATCACCGAGTTGTCCGGGCTGGAATCCAAGCTAGACACCATTGATGAGTTGGCTTTTCTGCTTCTCAAATCCTGGCCCAGGAAGATGGAATCTGCAAGCCCTCAGAAGTTTGTCTCGTCTGCAGGTGCCGCTCACACGGCTTCTCATCTGGTTATTACCGCTGGTCCGCCCACCTCCGGTTCCAACGCGATTTCCGCTTCTTCCAACGCTCCTGTGACAACCACTGGGTTTGCCTCTTACGCTCATACGCCAGGTCCAACTACCTCTAGTACTCCAGCCACAGGAAGCTTGTTCGGAAGCCTTCCTCCACGTGCTTCGGGTGGATTCGCAGGCTTCTCGTTAACACCCAGTGGTACTGGTAACGCTAGATCAAGTCAACCAACTCGTCCTTTCGGATCTCCAGCGTAACGGGTTTTCCTGCTGTGATACTCAGTTGAGCCTTTTTCCCCTGTCTTAATATATTGCATACATCCTTTTTCCTTAGTTTCTGGGCTTCATTTAGTGACGTTACTTCGCGACTTCCTCTTCCTTGTTCGTCCACGCGCGATACCCAAACCTCCTACTAGTCGCGGCAATCACTCCACCCCATACCTTCCACGACCCTTTGTAGATCATAGAGCGCACCTCCTCGCCGTATGCGACGGCTGTGCGAAGCCAAGAGCTCTATCCTTGTCATGTCTTTCTCTTGTACTTCTCCCCATCATCGACCCGCGCGAAAACCCGGAAAACTGCAATTGGCACCGCTGCATCCATCGATTTTGGTCTCTTTTTGGAATCACACATAATATATACGCATCTCTCGCATTGGTTTCACAATTTCGAACTGAACCAGAATGTCGACTTCGAACACAGACGCCGATGTCGCCTTGCCGCATGCCTCATTGCTCGCATACTTCCGTGGCCCATCAGCTGTTCAAAAAGTGACCGATAGCGGTATCCTATCCAGTGACAACAGCCATGGTACCAACGCGCACCAACTGCTCCATCCGCCGACCGATGACGATGACGACGACGAAGAGTCGAGAATAGGCTTCTGGGGCGAAGTGGATGGACCTACCAGCTCGTCTGGATCATACTCATTCGGCGAAAGCAGATCAGCTTGGCGAGGAGCAGCCGCCTTCTGCTGTCTTTGGTGTGCATTCTCGGTCATGATCCTCGGCGCCTTTAGCCTCTATTTCGCTGTCAACCTTGTCCTCGGCCACTACGGACTGGGTACTGGGATGGCGGAGTGGGTCATGTACAGACAACAGCTCCCACCGAGCAACATCCGCGGCGTGAGTTACTCGAAAGACGACAGTCGTGGCGATGAGCAGCGTACTGATGATTAGCGTGCCTTAGATAAGGTTCTGCCTTGAGACTCCGAACCGCGAGGCACCTAGCCCGCAGGCCTGGCATTACCTGAAGGCAAGCACCGACAACCGTTGCACTACTGATACCATCGACTTCATTCTCAATCCAAAGGAAGCATGGAAGGTTCAGCCAGATGCGATTCTGCTCGTGAAGGACGACGTGTCATACCTGGATCAGCGTGAACAGACTCGGGCACCCGCTATCTCCCGAGAAGAACCACAAGCTCCTAAGCTGGGTGACGATGTTGCAGAAGAGGGTCAATTGGGCCGAACAGTTTGAGAGGTCACATATGGAAGCTATCACAAGCACTTGGTGAATGACACTTGCATTCATTTTCTAGTATACTCCATTCGCCACATTGTTTGCTTAGCATCTTGTAATAAATCTTTTGCATTTCCTCCGCCTAGCAGTGCCCACTGATGATAGTAACACCGCCGCTGCGAGAATGCGCACTATTGGTAAAGTCCTCAAACGGCCGAATCATTATCAACTTGTTTGGATGTCCCCGGAGTCGCGACACGTATCTTTTGGTACCATTCCTTTGCGCATGAGGCGTATGAGATGCGGAAAGTGTGGCTAGCTTGCCGTCTCTGGGTTGCCTCTGAGTCATTGATGAATGACACAAGTGTTGGAAAGGCTTCTTCATCGTCGAAAGATGGTACTACCCGCTCATCAGCGCGTGCCCATATTCGATAGGCTCGTGGGTCTTCCTCGTCGGGTACTGTGTCGCATACGGCGCGCTCGGCCGGAGGACTTTGCAGGATCACTTCGTAGTGCATCTCGCGACCCGCGATCCAATCGCTGTATTTTTCGTACATCGTGACGCACTGGTCATTTTGGGCGTCTTCGAAGATCAGATACACAGCTTTCAGGTCCTGGAAGAAGTGGTGAGCTTTGTTGAGCGCGTCGAGCCAAGCAAAGGCCTTGACGCTTGGGTGAAGAAGCTCAATCACTTGGATACTAGCAGGAAGAAGCTTGCAAGGATTCGGGAAACCATTGCCAAGAAGAAGAACTTGTGGTATAGTAAGGGTTTCCAGCTGCTTGAAGAAAGCAAAGGTGGGGACCGGACCCATCCACTTCAAGAACTCTTGGTCGAAGCTGTCGTACGCACTCACTGAGAGGGTTTTGAGGCTAGGCGCAACCCGAGAAAGGCAATAAACCATCCTATTACTCTTTGCACGCTTGGAGTCTTTAAGGATAGGTTTGACAACAGAGAAGCCGCCAGACGAGTGGAAGTTGGTGAGCTGGATGGAGAGATGTTCCAACCGTGGGAACGATGTGGCCGAAAGAAAACCGCCATTTAGCGCCCCGTTGTGATCAACTTCCATTGCTACACAGCTAGCGAGCTCAAGTTGAAGGGTATCAACAGCAGGAGCGACGAATGAAGCGGGGACCCTGCATTCTCGCGCGACCTCTAAGCACTGCAGCTTCGGCAGAGTACACCAAGTCTTGTCAAGACGGCTGCCGAAGAACCGCAAAGTTTCGAGTGTCTTGAGACCACAGATCTGGGATAAATCCAAAGCTGGTCTGTTGACAAGGTTCCTAAGTCTTGCGTTGAGGATACCTTTCATTCGAGAGGACATGATCGGATCGGTGCGTTTGAGTTTCAGAAATTCCAAGAGATAGTACCCAGGCTTTCCAAAGAGTTTGTCGAGAGGATCCTCTGCGTAACGCTGCTGGGACCATACAATGCGTTCGTTATACTCCACATCGTCGTCCGCTACACGAAAGTCAGGCATAGTGGCAAGGATCTCTATCTCCAGCTCGACCAGATTTGGAAGTAAAGCAAGAATAAGACCACCACAAGCTTTGCCGTCGCCAGAAAGTAAGCGAGCTTTCCAGTCTGGCACACGGATGGCCCAACCAGTGCCTTTAGTACCCATGTCGTCGATGACTCGTAGTGCTTTAGCGATGTCGTCAGATGACCATTTGGGAGGCGAGGTTGGCTGCCCTCTTATAAGACTCATCGAGAGCTTGCGAACGCTAGATGCTAGTTCAGGCCTGTGAAGGAGCGCGAGCGCAAAGGAGAAGACTTGTTCGACCGCGCAGTGGTAGCTTCCCGAGTAGCGTTCGTTGAGGGCAAGGTTGGTGTAGAGCTTTTCATTCGCGATACGTCGTAGCTGGTGCGACGCGAGGCACATATGAGCGAGGTCGCTTGGTTTTGTTGTATACCCCGTGATCTCATCGAGCAGCTCCTCTGATAAAGAAGACAACGCTCCCATGTTCGTCGAAGGAGACATATCCGCGTCCGAAGGTAAAGTAAGCTTTGCTTGGGTTTCGTGTTGCTGCATCGTGGTTGAGTTGCAACTTGAATCAAGTTGAGTGAGTGTGATGGATGAGAAGTAGTGGGGAATGGAAATGGGCTCGCAAATTTATATGAGGGAGGAATGTCCACCCAGACGTACAACCTTGTGGCCCGAGTCAATTCACCTATCTGCGAACACCTAGGCTTCCATAGCTTTCATTGTTGTCGCCACTTTCGTCGCCACTGTCTCAAGACCTTCTTCGCCCGGCTGTACCTCATATTAGAAGGTTATCGTTAGGCGGCGCGTTGTGCAGCAGCTTCCTTGATAGCCTTCTCTAACTGGATGCGCTCCGAGCTCTTTCGACCACCCGGATAGACGTAATTGTCAATAGTAGACTACTTTGACGTGAGTAAAGTATTTACCAGCTACGAGAAACTGTATTTACCTGAGAATATGCATTGGCGGCGATCTCGACTTGCCAAGTGACGTCTTCATCATCGTGACGGACCCAACCCGCTCCCCCAGAGTACCAGCCCTTATCAATCAAGCTATCAAGCTTCTTAGAAATGACCTTGGTGGCTGACCCATTCTTCTTCAGATGATTGTAGGTTGGCAGTATGACCTCTAGGAAATTGAGGTTAATGCGATCCTTGTCAAGCTCTTTCGCATCCCATCGGCCAAATGGTGTAACCATGAGCAATGTAACTTCCGGAGGTCCGGCAAATACAAGACGCTGAATGAAAGCGATGTCGCGGCGAAAGGTGCTGTAAACACCGTGTTCTCTCCATTTGAAGTCCGGGCCTGGTTCATGGGGCGTATCGGGGCACGAACGCACATCCCAACCAGCTCTCTCGAGGAAGTCTTCAAATCGTATATAGATTACGATATTCCGGACGTGATCTCTGGGAATAGCCCCGCACGGGAAAGGTGTGTTGATAAATTCGTTCATAAATCGTGCATCGCGGAAGTGGAGTACGTTCATCTCGAGGAAGGCCTCTGTGACTTCCCGAGCCATCTGAGGACCAAATAGCTTGGGATCAAATATGTAACGTTCTCTGATAGCTGCCAGCCGACGATCTACGATCGCTTTCTTCTCATCTTGATCTGGTAAATCAGGCCAGGATATCTCCTCCATAGCGACCCAATTCACCGTGTCTGCCGTATCGTGTTCATGAAAGAAGTCGTGGTTGAAATCTGGTATGTGAACACCGTCTTTCTCTACACATAGGAACTCGTAGATTGAGAGGCGCAACTCGGCAACGCCACCTAGAGCATCCAGCAGGTTCTTTGCGAGTTTTCTGAAACCATCAGCTTCATGTTTCATGATTCGAGAGTCTATCTCTCTGTCTTTAGTCAGTGACTACCCGCTTCTTGAAGCTATGATGCTTACTTGTCGAGCCGCCTGATCTCAGCCCTTATCTCATCTATTACGTCGTCTGGATACTCGACATCCTTTTCACCCGAATCGATTTGTTCACATTCATCTTCCTTCGCTTCTATCTGCTTGTATAGCCTGAACGCGATGAGCACTGGGGGAGTTTATCGAGTGTTCATTAGCGACTTACTTCGAAACCTCTGGCCATGCCGCATGGGTAGCTGAGGAACGGCAATTTACCGGTCCTTCCTGCGAGCTCGTCATTGTAATGCTCTTTTTGATGGAGGTCCGATTCAAATGTAATCTTGACGCCGCGAGACGGGTGTCTTCAGCTAGAGTTCCCGTAGTTTCCTGTCCGAGCTTTTGCATTACATAATTGACGTAAGTGGGGTTATGTGGGGTGGCTTGCTTCCTCACCCATTCTATCATCCCAACAACGCGTCGAGCTCACACCAGCCCAGAATCGCAGCAATCATCGCAGCAACCATTGAAGTTACAGTACAGCTACAACAAGGGATTGTAAGTCAAATTTTGATTGTTAAAATTAAATCGCATCCAGGTAACACAAAGGGGCCGGCCTTAAATATTCGAACACTACTTCGAATTGTATCTTAGATGATAGCCGAAAGTCCTTGAAACCTAACCAGCTCTAAGAAGATTGAAACCTGCCACTATGAGCCGCAATTATGCCCAGCTTTCAGGCAAGTAGTCGCTTCAGTCTATATCAAAAGCCAATAAATGGTATGGGCTACAGGTACGCCTTCCCGATCACGACCATACCTCCATTCTCCTGCTGTCCATCCACGACACACAATTCCAGATGTTGGTCGCCTGTCTCCTGGATCTTGACCAAACTCCTCCATGTATCGGCGCGCTCCACACCCGCACTCGTACCGTACAGCTTCTCGCTCGGCGCCGAATTAATTGCCAGCGCGATGAGCTCCGCTACATCCTCCCAGCACTCGCCACCATAGTACCGTCCCCTAGCGACAGAATAGCCTACAAATGCTACATGCACAATCAACATCAGCGCAAAGAGCAGCAGGACAATCATGGCTGCCCAGACGGCTGTGTTCTGGAGTCCGTATCCGTATCCGTAGGAATCTAGTGCGATGCGAACGGAGTAGAAACCGGGAACGTAGCTGTCTGGATTCCACTTGAAAAGCCTTTCACCTGAGGGAAGGAAGGTTTCAAGTCTTGTTACCACGTCAGCGGTGGCATTAGTTTTGACGAGAGAGGATAATCTAGACATGCTTCGCGCTATGCCGTCTACAAGCACGGTTCCCACCAGCATCGCTATTGCCTCTTCGAATGCGCCGCCCGTGTCCGGGGTCGTCATATTAGGCGCATAGAATGCCGTTATCCGGTTCTCTTCTTGTTTAGGGCGGATGATGGCAGTATTGAGGAACCGCGCCATGCCACTGACACTGGAGGAAGAGTTGTCGGCTAGCCACTCGCTTTGTTGTCGGTTCAGAAAATGCGCCCAGTCTAGCCTCAGGTCGAGCGGGTTTTCTGATATGCCCAAGTTGGTGAGGAGTGCTTTTTCGGGTTTCCATTCGGTCTCGGAGAGTGCATCAGAAACGTTGCTCGAGACAGTGGTCGAGTTCTTGGGCTGGTAATATGCATCGCTAGAGACCCACCTTGCATCAGTTGAGCATGCCACAGTGGCAGTGGATGGGTATCTGTCTTTCGTGGAGTTTTTGGCCGAGACAGGGATGATTGCCAACGCAAGTAGCGATGATGACAAATCCCCGTTGTTGTTTTTGTACCACTTGAACCTCGCGTTCTTACTCGGTAGCCGATCAAAGATGGTATCGTTAGGCTTGGCGTACTTTGTCTCAGCTTCGGGATGCAATGCCTCCTGCCCCCATGCCTGTGACCTATCGATGTTCGGAAATGGGACACGTAGTCGATCCGGGACTTGGGTCCACATAGAGAGGCTACACTTCACATAGACGATGGGCTGGTGTATTGGAGTGTCCGCTATGATGCGCAATCGGGGATATGCCATGTCTCTAGTACCGCCGGCATTGTTGTGTCTTGCATAGTTATAAAATGTACCGAGTGTTCTCGAGCTCAGCTCTGTAACGACGGTGGTGTAGGCCCAGCCGCCCTTTGGGTCATTGCCAGTCTTGATGGAGACCTTCCGTTGAGCGCTGCTCGCACGTAGGTCTGTGAAGAGCAAGTCATCGCGTGATCCAGTCTTCGTGAAACTGATAAACTGAATAGTTTCAGCATTGAATACATGTTATATCCGAAAAACTGGAGATAAATACCCATTTATAGATATCGATGAACCCTGCCGACGGGCAGTGTAGGTTTAATGGTGACTTGAATGGATCTTGGAGGCAACGAGCAGTTTCATTCGTGTCCATTGAGTTATTGAAGACAGTTGGCCAGATTTCGGCTGCAGTTGCGTTGTAGAGGACGGATGAGCCGTTGGCTGGAAAAGCGCTCTTCATTTCGTACCACTCAAGCGAAGGAATCATTGTGATCGCTGACGACGGCCCTAAAGTCAGCGAAAAGATACAAGTGAGAAACAACAAGCCTCCGAATGGGAGATGACGCCTCCATCCCGCCCAGAATGACCACTTGAACAGCATGCTGGGCGAGCCTGTGACATGAAGTGCATTGACGAGTCCGAAGGGAATACCATTTCGCCCGACCAGCAGTCTTCGCATGTAGTGAAAGACAATCATGGATAGTGATGCGAGCATCAGCAACTCGTGAGCCTTGGACGCGACCTGAAATGCCTTGAGTTCCATGTTCTGCCGCTTCTGGTTCTTGATCTTGAAATCCCTCCAAAAGAGTCCGATGATGTGTATCCACAGAAGGACACCAGCAATGGCGAGTGCTGCAGCGTGAAACATGAGCTCAAGCCATGGAAAGTCACGCTTCAGCGCAATTTTGGCTCCTTCGATGGGATGCGTAGGTCCCAGATCGCGCTTGTGAACATCACTCTCTTTGGTGGAGACCAACGATCGCTGATCGATCAAGAGCGCAGTATCCTCCATCACACTCCGCAGGATGTCAGAATGATGAGTAGCAAATCGAAGCGATCGAAGAACGAGAGGCCAGAAGAAAGAGGTTTCGGATAGAAGAGAGGCCAGAAGAACGGGATATCAGGACAACAGCGGGGCGCGAGGATATGCCATGCTTAAGAAGGCTGAGGATGAGACCGGTGGCCATCAGATGACAAAGCCTCATTTGGGAAACCTATCAAGATATCGCAGAGTGAGCCAGCGCGACAGGTGTGGGGGCCAAACCATTAAGGAGGCAAATACTTGGGTAGGGGTAACAAGGCTGAATACCGATGCCAGCCTGGTGGCTGTGGACTCTTACGCCAAGATCAATACTCGTTCCAGGCATAAGCATTCCAGGAGACAGGACCGGAGGCCATAGTAAGGATGATGAGGTCTCTCAAATCAGGCTGGACAAGACATCAAAGGGAAACGAAGTAGACAACTGTCGAAGTTTACAGGTCTGTTTTCGTACGTTCTGTGTATCTCGCGAAGACTTTGCGAGAGTCCTGGATTGTAAACTCTCGGAAAAGATCGCCTTGAACGAGGACGGACGTGTTGGCGAACGTTTATCGTGGGCATTGCTGCTGCGTGTGGCGACTACACCGTCCCACGCCCGGTTATGGCGAACCGTCAGCATCCAAAGAAGGAGACAAACCTGTACAATATCAGCCAATAAAAATGGGTCGGGGTTGTACGTTGCACAGGTGCTGGTCAGGGAGTTGAAGGCCATTTGGACCAGCCCGCGGGCTGGCTCCAGGACTGCTAGTCCCGAACAGGAATGGTGCCGTTCGGGAGAATGACGCGAGGCCGAGCGTCACCCATGTTCCCCAACGCGAACATCGGCGCATCCACTCGACGCGACGTAGCAGTGCATCCGCTGAGCACGTGCTAATTAGCTCATGCTCATGGAGACAGAATGAATGAGGAGGACGACTACGACAATGGCGCCAGTAAATATCCCCACGACGCTCGGAGGAGCTGCCAACTAACCGCGCGCAACAGGCTCCGCCGAGGAGGAAGATGAGCAGGAGGAGAATGATGCCATGGATGTAGATGAGGAGGAAGAGGGCGACGATGCAGATGACGGCGATAATGACGACGACGATGCAGACGGAGACAACGACAACGACGATGAAGACCAGGATCAAGATCAGGACCAGGACGAGCCCGACAGCCCTTCGCAGCGACCGCGCAACAGCATATCCAATGGTGGTACAGCTGGACAAGCAGACGGCAATCCATCTGTCACCCTCACATCACCCAGCCCTCGAGCGGCGGCTTCGGGCGTGCTCGGAAACCTGCCTTTCCACCCCAGCGTGCGCCAGGAGGCCTTGAATGCGCCTATATACGACATCATACCCACCATCGCCGCACCGCATAGCACCTCAATCAATGCCATTACCGCAACACCAGATATGCGATGGGTCTTCAGCGGAGGCGCGGACGGCTATATACGAAAGTTCAATTGGGTAGACACGGCCAACGGAAAGCTTGCCCTGACCGTGGCCCAGCGACACCCTTTCGTTGACTCGGTCACCAAGGCGGGCGTGCTTCTCTCATACTGGGAGAATGAGGACAGTGCTGCAGCCGAGAGCTTATCTCCTGTATACTCGCTCGCAGTACACCACCAAGCGCTATGGCTGTTGTCGGGTCTGGACTCGGGAGGCATAAACCTGCAGTCGGTGCGCCATCAGGAAGGAACGCGGATACACACACTCAAGAACCATACCTCAGCCGTGTCGGTCTTGACATTGTCGCAGGACGAGACGTCAGTGTTGAGTGGTAGTTGGGACAAGACTATCAATGACTGGGACTTGAATACTGGAAGCGTTAAGAGGAAGTTCGAGACGAGCGGAGGACAGATATCCGCAATCGAGCAACGTCCCATGTCTACCTTACCTATACCTCAGGATACCGAAACCCTTCCTACCTCGAACGGCACCTTCTCCTCCAACAACTCCGCCCGACCTCGAACCAACGGCGCCCTCGCGAACGGCGCCGATATCAAGCCCGTGATACCCAAAGAAGAAGGTACTGAGGATGCCCAGGGATCTCCAGACGACTCGCTGTTTGGAGACAAGGACCAGGACTCTTTGTTCGGCGACGGCCAGGAAAACAACCTCTCGGCCACTCTTCCTTCGTTCGGTGGTGACGACGACGAGGACGAGTTCTCTAGAGCCATCGCGAACGGCATACAACAAGCGGACGACGACGCCAATGCTGACATGGACATGATGGACATGGGCGGTCCTGTACAAGCACCCGAGGAGCCAGCTGCGGAGCAAGCGAAGGAACCCCCAGTAGATGCTGAGAACCAACCAGCAGCGAATGGAACTACAGATGCGCAGCTCAATGGCACTTCCAACGGCCTGCCCCATGCAGAGGATCTCGAACAGTCTACGACTACTTCCGCAAACCAGACCGAGCAGCCTGCTTCATCTGAAACGACCTTTATGGACGCGTCAATGGACGGCACATTGCGTATCTGGGACCGCCGGCAACCGAACCCAGTCGCACGCATCACACCCCCGCGAAACACACCACCGTGGTGCATGAACGCATGCTGGTCACCAGACGGCAACTCCATCTACGCTGGTCGGCGAAACGGCACAGTGGACGAATACAGTCTACACAAGAGCCTACGAGAGCCGCGACGCACATTCCGATTCCCCAGCGTCAGTGGTGCAGTGAGTGCAGTTCGGGCTATGCCCAATGGGCGACATCTCATTTGGTAAGTTCACCTCCCCTCACACGCGCACACATACATACGTGACGTGACGTGACGTGAGACAAGCACTAACATGTACCAGCGCATCATATGACATCCTCCGCCTCTACGACCTTGCCCACAACGACGCGGGACCGAAAGCCGGCGCGGCCGCTACACCCTTCTTTATTGTCCCCGGACACCGCACCGGCGTCATATCGCAGCTATACCTCGACCCGACGTGCAACTTCATGATCTCAACGGGCGGAAATCGGGGCTGGGAGGGAGCATCAACAGAGGTGATGCTTGGATATGAGATTGGCATCGGATCTTAGCATGTACTATACCCATTGATCGCGGCGTTTGGAACGGCGTTTCTTGAACGAGGGGGTCTGCGTGCACTTTTGTGATTGGGTACGAAGAGCAAAGAATAAAGAGACAAGACTTTTAACGCGACGATCGTGAGTGCAACGCGTGTGCCAGGTGACGTAGCTGGGGTAATGGGCATGGGGATACGCAAGTGCTGACTCCGAGATGCTACGACGAAGCGTTTAGGACGAAGCTTATCCTTCTTTTGTTTTTCCTTCTCTCCTCTGGTTGTTGCAGCCCTCACGTTTGTTCTGCCATTGCAGCTGATTGACTACTTGCAGGCTCGGCATTCCCGCACCATGTCGATGGTGTCACGCGGAACACGCGTCCACCATAATTTTTTTCCGTGTGGGAGGAGCGGGGTAATTTTGATGAAGTCTTTCTCAGAAGCGCTTACTATCGCATTGACCCGCGGAGAGGAGTATACCCAAACATAGACGGTAAAGGAAGTGACGTAGTCGGTGAGAGCCTCGTTGTACCATGGACATGCATTGGGCGCGAGGATAGGGGCAGACAGTACGCGCGCGCATCTCAACTAGATTTTGGATCGAGAGGGGCGATTAGTCGGATCAGAGTCCGTGGTGTTGCAGAATTCGAAGAGACGGCGGGGCTCATCTCAACCATGCACCCCACAGACAGGATCCCTGGCACCGGCGTCGGCATCCAGTCAAGGCGACTGGAAATCTGTCAGCGCTGGTACAAATGCCGGCATTCAACACTATGTAAGTCGCTATCGGCACGGTGTGTCGGGCTTTGGTGCAGGAACACCAGCGGTGAGCGCCTCGTATGTACGAACGGAGACGGAATCGAAACGAGGCAGGCGGCCAATGATCATCTCTTTCGAACTTTTCGTCGCCTCGCCGGAACGCGAGCCCGTAACTGTAGGCGCGCGTCATAAAAAGTCCGAGGTGGACCGATGCTGGTCCGATGTTTGTTTCAAGAAACCTGGAACAAAAGCGTCCGAGTTGTTGTAGACCCACAGGTATGGTGTTTCTTCCTTGGTACAAATGCAGGTCTGACGGTTTGGGGAATCCCTGCTGGGGATTTGTAGGCTAGCGAGCGACTTTAGCTCCCGGGCGCTCACGCCTCGTAGATCGTATCGCGCAAGGCATGGCGGAAAGGGCGGTGTAGGGCGGTGAATGGCTTTGGAAATGCATCGTGAAGGACGTTGAGGGACGGACTCTGCAAGCATGTAGACGTCGGCTGTGAAGAAATCTAGTCTTGCTGGGGTCGTCCCAGCGGTGAGTGGTAGATCACGGTACGCGTGCCACTGCATCGGTCGATTTGTGTAGACTAAGGACCCAAGGATTTGAATGGAAAAAAGCAAATTGAGTAGAGAGCGCTACTAGGGCATGCTGTGTTGTAGTCCACCAGATCTGGTAAGACGTGTGCAGTCAAGGGAGAAAGCGCTGCGAATAACGGAGGCTAGGTCGCATGGAAGCCAGCATGGCAGGGAAGACTACACGCTTCGAAGGAAGACGATGAGCTTCTATTCGTGAACGTTGTTTGGTTCGCATTAGGAGAGACACTGTAGAAGCGTCCAATCCCGTGTCGAATGCAGTTCATTAATGGCGTAAGCGACTTGTAGTAGCATCTGGAAAGAGGAGCCGAGATTTTCACAGCTGCCCCCAGCCACCCAACAAGGTAGTGTTCTTGAATACCTAGCCGCGACAAACTCGTGCACGCCGAACATCATTTGGAACATGAACAGCCATGAGGCGCACAAAATTTCGTGTCGAGAGCTGAACGTGAGCTCCCAAGACTTCGCCTGCTAGCATTAGCGAGCGGGACGCATTGAAATTCAAGAATGCAGGCGACTCCGACTCGTCAGGCGGCATCAGGGTTCAGGTGACACTGCGGTGGGCGAGATAGAGTTCTTAGTCAGATATTGAGGCGCAAGCCCAAATTGGCGCCCGGGAACCGCGTTACCCACGTCTACAGTGTGCGACTATCGTCGACGTTGACCGCAACGTCAGAAAACGGTGACTGTAACATTACAAAGCCCAACAGGAGGGTCGTGTGTATGCGAAACTACGTCATTCCATCTTTTGTAGAGCCCAAGCAAAATCGGGCCGTATCGCGGTTGTAAGGAGGAATCTGGGAAAACAGTAGAAATCTCAAAATAATGGAGAACTGGATAGTGGAGCCGAGAGGTGCTGCCGCGTTATCCCAGGTTGTCGAATGATACGGGTAATGCTCCGTGTAGGCAGACCACGGTGCCAGGCTTCAATAGTGGCAATTGTCACGGTGATCCAAAGTTAATGTAGTTTGTCAGTGTGGTGTATTGGAGCCGCATCAGCTGAATCATCCACGGAGCTGAAACCCTATCCATGACCTTTTGATGAAACATTTCTGGAGAACGCCACCGGGTTCGGTGTAGTCGAGCGTCGGCTGCAGGCACAGAACAAAGGTTCACGCAAGCAGCCTCGTCATGCCCACGACGAGCGTGGCAGGGCGGATGTAGCGGGACTCTAAGCAGTTCAGTCGTGGCCTCTCAGCGACGCGAGCGAGCGGCGTGTGAGCAGAAGAGGGTGTATGATGGACCAAAAGAGGCAAGCCTGAAATGAGGCTGAGTGGGAACAGAGAGGTTGTGATGGTATGCTGGTGTGATCTGCCCCGCCGCTAGCGCTGTATCGTGACTACGTAGTGTCTTCGGGCCTTTGGCTCCACCCTCGACGCCTAGTGTCGCCAGTCGTCTTTACGGCTCGCTGCAATTTGCACGATCGCGCTGTTCAGTCTCTGGCCATAGTTTGATATCTAGCGGCACTCCATGGATCGTCAGTCCTGCATTAACGGCCGTCGAGTCCGCAACACCTAGTGGCCAATGCGCGCGTGCAGCCTGCAGGTCATCCTACACCGAGATGGTGTGCCGCCAACCATCTCATGTGGCCCGCCCGCCATCACTCTGCCTGTCACCCATTCCTTTGCGCCCTGGGATCCTTACCTATTCTGCTCACGCTGCACTAAGCTTCTCATCCACACCGCACGCTAATGCGCATGCACTGCACATGCAGGGCACCTCTTCCGGCTGCTTCGCTCGCCTGTCAACATAAGTACCCAAGGAATCCTCCAGAATATGCATCCCGTACCAGACATCTCGCGGAGGATAAACCACGGTTCCGACTAACTGTCGCTTCTTGCATTGCCCTCTCCCAGGCAAACACTTCCCTGGCAGCACTCGCATTGTCTCATATTCGTCGCCTCTCCCACGCCGCCCACTCGTGACACTCCCAGACGCCTACCCCAAAGTCACGCATATATAGCTTGCGTGCGCCGCTCACCACTGGCGAACCTACTACCAAAATCTCCTACCAGCACCACTTGTGAACTCTCTTCACCGAGCGTTCGCGAACTGCTGTTTCAGGAAGGACCGGCCAGGAGCCGGGGGAACGAACACCATTCTCGGTCACATCGCCTTTGTCAAGGTTGAATCAAGCGCTAAGCCATCACTGCCTGTTCGACGTTCATCGCTCTTTCGGAAATTCAAGGACTTCCTCTTAATAATGCCTTCCTATCTACGAAGCACCCCTCGCGCCTACTCCTTCCCACCATGGGTCGAGAACGGCAGCGACGACACTAATGAAAACGATCTTCCGGACATCGACGAAGACCCCTTCTCGCACTTCATCTCACCACCCATCACCGAGGCTGACGACCCGTACGAGCTGTCCTTGAGCGCAGGCATCGACGTCCAGGAAGGACCGCGCACCACCAAGTCTTCCAAGTTCAAGTCCAACCTCGCCAACAAGTGGACCCGATATGTCAAGCACAACCACAGCCAGCTCCACACTCAGTACCACGCGCCTACCATCTACGAAGAGGACGAGGAGGAGTCTTTTATGGGACTGGACGACGATCGATTGAACGACACGCCACAAGTCGTGTCTCAGCTCAGCCCGCCACGGATCAGAATCACTGAACCATCACGAGGCCGCGCACAGGATCTCGCAACCCGCAAACAGCAAAACCGTCGCCGGTACTCGCGCACACTATCGGGTCATCGCCACTCATGGAGAGAACCCAGCCCGGACCTGTTCACTGTAGACGAATCTGAGGAGGAGGATGTTCCTGCGCTACGTCGCGCAAAGACTAGGAAGCCCAAAGACGGTGCGGAACGCCGGAGGTCATCGACCCGATCAAAATCAAGAGCACGAGTCGACTCGGTAACGGGAGAGTCGATCTTGTAGCACGGCAGTACGGCGGGATAGAGAAAAAGGTGCATCATGGGGGAGGGGTTGGATACACAGCATTGCGCGGCGTTGGTGGCTTTTTGACTTTACACACAGCATTGGGAGGCGTTTTTGGTATACCACGGGCTTGCATTTTTATGGTTTCACGCATTGGGCGGTGTTTCATCGAGCATTTACACATACTGTACTGCATTGCGTGCCGCGGCAGCATGATAGCGATCGAACAACAAACAAATTCCACTTCATAATATCTTCAAGCTTCATCCCCTCCTTCGCACTTGGCTCGGTGATATTGCTATGACGACCTCATCAAACGCAACGGGCCAACCCCTTCCATTGACAACCTCCGTCGGCGGTATACTGAGTCGAGCACGCGCAACCATCCCCCACCCGAAAACGCGACTACTGCAGACTAGGAGACAAGCGTGCAGTACCGTGACCTCACGCCGCATAACCCACGATAGCGAAAAACCACCAACAGCGCCCAAATTACCCCTCCACACGCCAGCAGCGAACATCCCTCTTTCGCGCGCTTACCGCCCCTACCCTAAACCATCCGAAAAACCTCCGCGACGACTGTCACAGCAGGAATAATCGGGTCTCCCGGCACCACCGCTCCAGAGGCGAAGATAATCTTATCTTACCAGCCAACTCAATTTTTTTCTTCTCCTGTTTCCGTTCAGCCTCACGATTGCCTGCAGCAGACCAAGTCGTGATTTTCGTCTGCCATTACTCCAACAAGGACTAGCCATACGCGCTCTGTTCTGTATCTTGCATGCAGCCTCGTGCACTGCGCATGTTGCATGAGAAAAGTGTGCCCAAGAAACATCTACCGGCATATATCCATCAGCTTCACCAACCACGTTTTCGGATTCTTTACCCCTCACTTCATCCATTCACGAAGCGCAGCGTGCCGACATTATCGCAGGAAAAGGGTATTTTGCACCGCGCATCTTTTTTTTGGTGTACTTTACGCGAAGAGATCTACACATGTACACAGCTTACCTTTCCCAAAGTTGATACAACATGACCTGATCTATCATGACCACTTGTCATGTCCACGCTTTTCCATCTGCTTCGGACGGCAAGACCCTGCGTTTTGGACGATGTACCCTTTTGACCCTTACAGATAGGACGGCGATCTTACTATGGCGTGCGCGAAGGGTCACGCGGCGCGAGATAGGCGGCGGAGGGCTTTGATCCGGGGTCGGCATAGTTGACGATGGTACTGAATCATGAGGCTGCCTGGCGTGATTGTGATTGCGACAGGCGGGGTCTAAATCTTTTTTGGTGGTTTCCTCGTTACGACGGTGGGGTGGGGTGTGGGTTGGGCATGTGGCCTGTCTTCGGGAGCAGAGTGGCTTCCTGTGTAGAAGGGCCGACTCTGTGGGGTCGGCATTCGGAGACCCACGGTGCGGATTGGTGGCTGGGTAAGATAAATGTGAGGTTGGGTGTGCTACGCCTGTTCGCGATCGAGATCGTGAAGGATGTGGTGTTCGCCGTGTGCATGGCATGATCCGCAAGAAGTCGTCATGTCAGAGGATCTGGATATGTCGTGCGCAGCGCTGCAGCCGCCTGGCTGTCTGCGACGCAGGGCAATGATAATAAGGAAAGCCGATCTATCTGGCGTCTCGCTAAGTGGACCACAGCCTGGGGAAGCTTACGCGTGGAGTAGACTGAGTTTCGGGAGGCGTTGGAGTGGAGATGGTCATTGGAGATGATCATATCGCCACGTTGAACAAAGGGTGAATGCGATTTACAGTCAGTGTTGATACACACATCCGATGGCAATTGTATGCTTCCAACATGCCAATGAGACTAGTAGGTGTACTCGTACAGGCAATCCTTATGCGCGTGATTAGTGCAGATCTTCCAAGGTTACGCGCACTACGCGTCGGTCGGAATGACGTCGTCACCTGAGACGCGACTCCAGCTTTCACGACCCATGCATCACATCCTTACACATCGTGACGCCCTACCCTATCATCTCGACACCCTATAGTACCATCATGCCGCGCTTAGACGAAAACACACAGCAAACCCTCCGCGATGCAGAACAGGGGATCCGAAGGCGAACCGCCAGTGCCTGGGACAGCTTCAGCAACTTCGCCCTACGCGACAACGTGCTCGAAGTAGCCGTTGGACTGATGTATGTACATTCCTATAATAAAATACACGTAAATAAACCATACTGAACCGCAAACCAGCCTCGCAGCCTCCTTCACCGCAGTCGCAAACTCCCTCGTCTCCTCCATCATCCTCCCCATAATCTCGCTCCTCCCCTTTCTCTCCCGCAACCTCGACGCCAAATTCGCCATCCTGCAATCCGGACCAAATTACAACACCACAATCTCCAACGGCTACAACACCCCTAAGCAGGCTGTTGACGATGGAGCTGTGGTACTAGCTTACGGCGAGTTCTTGGACAAGATTGTCAGGTTCTTGGTCGTTGCGTTGGCGCTTTGGGTTGTGGCTCTGGCGTACTCTAGGGGTAGTGGGGATAACATCGTCAAGAAGCAGGTCAAGTGTCGATTTTGTAGGAAGTATATTAGTGAGAAGGCTAAGAGGTGTGTGAATTGTACGAGCTGGTTGGATGGGAGAGAGGATAGAGGGTAGAACGTAGTTTGGAAGGTAAGTGTTCATATTGATACGGCAATGTTGATTTATGGTCTACTGCGCGAGCTTCATGTTCATCTCGTTCTCTCGAGTTCGAAAGCACAGCACCTCCATACCGCATCCTCGAGACGCTCCTCCTTCCACTTGAACTTCTGGTTGTCGCGTAGCGTAATCACACCCCGAATATGGCATGGACTATCTGGAAGACCCTGTCCTTCTTCTGAGTATTCCAAATGAAGACTCTCGATCGACCCATACTTTCGAATCATCGAGTAATTTCCCCAATCTAACTCGATGCGGGTAGGCTCCTCTTTCGATGGCACGACGTTACCATGGGCTTCGAAACGAAATCCGCCCTCGATGTCGCTCGCTTGAATAGGCTTGATCTTCGCACACACAAGATCCTCCGTCTCGCTATTAACGTAGGCGCCGAAGAAGTGATGGGGTATTCCCAGAAGTTTCTCTGCGCAATCTTCGTCTTGACCCTGTTCGTTGAGACGCATCGTTAAATAGATGTCCTGTCCACCGGAAGAGCCATCGAAGCCAAGTGGCGCTATAGTAAGATATGTGGCTTTCTTTTCCGGATCGTCGATAAACAGCCGCTCCAACCTGATGGGCATGCCGTGGAAAGAGATGTGCACCGGGAATCGCGCCAATTCCTTTCGCTCAACCTCATCCAGATCACTGAAAATCGTTTCGTTGAATGCGGCTGCGTCGAGAGTGACATTAGGCCTTCTTTGACCGCCACCGAACGTAGCATTTTCCGCTCTGTCCCAATCCGAAGGCCGGGGTCCAGACACATGAATGAACTGATTATATTGCGTCTCGTCGCACGATAAAAGCACTGCCCTATCTTCTTCCCACTGCTGGGAGTAGTAGTGTGAGCCGTGTCTCCATGTCCTTGTAAATCCTCGCTCTGTTATCTTCTGTCCGACGCAAAACAAATCCTGATAGAACGAAATACCGAGCGAGCGAAAAGCCGTGATGAGGTCGACTTTACTTTTCAAGTCGAACTTCTCGGTCAAGATAAAGGTGAGTAGATACCTCTTCCCAGCATACTGTTGTGGCCCATAGTACACAAGATCCTCAATTGTGGAGCCGCACCATGGGCCAAAGTTGAAGCGATACGGGGCTTTGTTTTCCGGGACAGTGCGTCTGTTCTGTTCCGTAGGGTGGAAGGTGTATGCTTTCTGAAGGGAAGTAGAGGTGTTCCTCCGAAGTGACTGAGTTTGCCGGCGTGATTTATGTGGAGATTTCACAACGCGAGCATCTTGAATGCGACTTATCATCTCTCGTGATACTGGAAGAAACAGAACCGGGTATGTTGAAGACATATTTTTTAGAGAGTAGTGGTCGTACAGTGAGGCAGCTAGGACACTGTCGCAGCCCGTCGATGTTATGGAGCAAATACTTCCTGATAACGACCAGGCTTTATTCTATTGAAGAGGGACGTTTTCGTAAGAAGGTAGTGAGTACTTGATTGAAATCAAGGTTACTTACATCATGCCTAGGTAGGTGCGCAGTCTGGACCCAAGAAGATAGCGTCAATAGCGTCACCCAAAACTCGACTACCAATCGATCGCGCCGATGAGGTCAATCAGGACTAGGAGATATCGAACCAACTCTTGAACGGGCTGAAAAGTCTTTTATGGTACTCTTGTTATCACTAGTCGCATTCCAGGCGATACATTGATGGTTTACCTGATGAGAAGAAACCTTGGCCTTGGCACATCCTTGGAAAACACCGTGGAAAGCATGTGATGATGATAGTTTACTCGGTAATGCGATCAAACGCAAAAGCCTTCCAAACTCCATCCGGTAGCTTGCCATTCTCCAAATCGAACCTACTCCCCCACTGATCGCGATAAGGTGGCGGAATGATGCCTTTAATCAGGTACTTCTCCCCAACCACCGGTACTTCAACATCCTTCTGCAGGATCACATGCATAGTTTCCCGGTTGTCTTCATTTTCCAAAGCTCGGCGATCCAACCAATCTGGCTTGACGGATATTTTGGCTTCGTCGATACTGTCAACAGTGCCCCTTAACTCGAAGCGGAGGCCCTTCCTGATGACAGCCTCGTCGTCGACTTTCTCAAAACGGGTCTCCACCAAGTCGACGGTGTCGGTGCTGTATAAAGCGCCGGAGAAGTGGAATGGTAGGCCCAGCATCTTTTCTGCCCAACCCTCCTCTTTGCCCTCCTCATCGAGCTTCATAGTGACATAAAGGAAGCATCGTTGTCGTCTCAGAGGATGACCGTCTGGGCTTGTAGTTATACCGGAGGGTGAAATAGTGAGATAGGTCGCTTTCTTCTCTGGGTCATCAATGAACAGGCGTTCAAGTCGAACTGGCACTCCATAAAAGGACAGGCGTATCGGATATACGTCCCAGCCCCTTCCCTGTTCCGTATTCGCTGCCTGAGGTAGCAGAGCAGCGAGAGGCTCCGCATCGAAAGTAACCTCCTCTGTCCTCATTGTCCAGTTCTCTACATCGTGAGGCGATTCCATCTCTATAAAGTGGTCGAATGGGGTCTTGTCAGCCGACAATATCACCTGACTGGGATCGCTACGCCAGGAGAGCTTATAGTGCGACCCGGGAATGGTCTCCTTTTTAAACCCTCGTCTGGCGAGCCCTACATCGATATTCATGAAGTTCTCATCTATGTACCAGATGTGAGGAAGCGAGCGTAGGGCGATAACAAGGTCAGGACGACTGGCCAAATCGAAAGTTCCGCCAAGGATATCCCAGATGATAAATTCAGGGCCACCCACTCTCCTGCAGGCGACCTCGTCGAGGGTAAGGCCCTGATGAACGGAGAAGTCAAGCTTGTAGGGCGTCTTGTTGAAAGGGCGTAAACGCCGGTTGTCCGCAGTGGGTTTGAAGAAGTATAGTTGAGTAAGATTGGGGTTGTGCTTCTTTTCGGGAGACTTTCGTTTGCCGATACGGCCATTTCGGACGCGATTCGACATTGTAGCTTCCAAGGCCTCAGTACCTGCAATAGGTCTTGTTGGCTAATGGCTGGGGCCCATGAAAGAACAAGTTTGTTACTGATCTGGAATTGAATGAAAGCGTCTTGAACGAAGAATGCAGTGGTGGAAAGAGGATGCGGAGATGGCGGGCACGCGATCTCGGAAGGCGAGGATATAAGTCTCATGTCTCGGTGGTTCTACTGGGCTAGTCTGTTCACGGTTAGTCGGAGTTGCCCAGGTGAGGATCCCAATAAGCAAAAGCCCCCAGCTAACTTGAGATAGAGATAGATGAGTACTTGTCACGATCCTCTACTTATCGAAATGCACATCTCTAACCCTCCAAAAACCTCGCAACAAACTGCGCAACCTCCGCCGGCCTCTCCACCATGGGCAAATGTCCCGCCCCGTCAACAACCTTAAGCTCAACCCCACTCCCCAACTTATCCGCCATATTCTCCTTCATAGTCTTAGGCAGCACACCATCCCCCGCACCCACCAAGAATGCACCTTTCCCCTTGTACCCAGCCATTTTTTCCCTAATATCATACTGATGCAGCGCCTTAACCGAATCCCTAAACCCAGCCAGCGAATTCGTCTTGACCATGTCCTTGACGCGCTGAATCTTCTTCGCTAGCTCCGCATCGTCGTAGGATTCTTTGACGAACCAGCGGCGCACTGTCACTTCTGCGAGTTCTTCGCCGACGATTGGCTCGCCGGAGGAGGCGGTTAGACCTTCTTTCTCGGCGACAGCGACGCGGTCGTTCCAGGCGTTGGCGTTGGAGGGAGGAGCGAAGGCATTGGTGTCGCAGCCTATGAACGCGGAGATGCGGTCCGGGTAGGAGAGGCCTGCGTTGAGTGCTGTTGCGCCGCCGAGGGAGACACCGATGATAGAGGCTTGCTTGACGCGGAGGGCATCGAGGAGGGCGATGACGTCGTCGGTAAGCGTGTGTACTGTGATGGGCGATGTGGTATTCGATGGAAGTGTGTTGCGGCCACGGGTGCTGTAGCGGAGGATGCGATACTTGTTGTTTGTGGCTTTTGTGAACTCGGCTACGAAGTCGTCCCAGATGCCGTAGTCGACGAGTATACTGTTTGAGAGCACGAGAAGAGGCGCATTGGGATCGCTGGAGCCTTCGAGGCGGTACGGCAGTTGCACGCCGTCTTTTGTTGTGACGAAGCTCTCGATTACTGGTCGCTTCTCTGGTGTGGTGTGCGCAGGATGTGTCTTGACCATGCCTTCTGAACTCTCTGCTGGTACTGTGTCTTTGCTCGCCAGACTTTGGAGGTCGCGCTGTGCAGCACCAAAGGTGTAGTAGAGATCGTACACCCTCCTCTTCCTGTCTTTTACGACATCCTTGTAGATCTTATCGCACCACTCCGTCGTAGTAGCAGCCTTGAACTCGGGTCCTCCGAGCCCATTCTGCGGCGCGTACTCGTGCAGCGCGAGGTACTCTTTCTCGGTCTTGTGTCCGCTCTCCAGATCTAGGTATGATGTTACGAATCTCCTCGTTCTCCTCCAACCGGGCACCTTTTGCAGAAGAGGTACATGCTCCTCATCATACCACTTCTTCAGCTCCTCTTCCTTGTCTGCGCCCTCGTGCAGCGCAAAGCTCACAGCAATCATGACGTTCTTCTCTCCCTCGTTTTCAACTTTCTGCAGGTCCTTGAAGTCTCCACCCTTCCATTCTCCGAGTAGATCGTAAGATCGCCTGTCGACGAATATCTGCTTCATAGTGTCGCGTTCTCGTTGCGATTGCACCGGTGCGCTTCGGAGTTTCGTGTACGGCTCTCTCGTCAGCCACTCGAGCTCGTCGAAATCGTAGATGGCCATCCATTCCGGCTTATCTTTGGACCCAGGCGCGCTCTCGAGATCCGTGGCGCGATAGCGGAAGCCATTGTTGCAAAAGGGGAGGCGCAGACGATTAGGGCCGTGTTCGTTCTGGTACCTTGGAGGGAAGAGTGTCAGGTGGGAGCGTGAAGTGGCAAGGATGCGACTGCGGAGGCGTCAACTTACCAATCGTGAAACTGTGCTTCAGGCAAGCCCTCCTTGGGCTGCATCGTCACGTACAAAATGCCTGGAGTTGATTTGGCTGCCATTGTATCTGTTATGTGGGTAGCTGTGCACTTCAGTGTAAGTGTCGCAAGTAGATGAAAGACGACTGGGTGGGAATGGAAGATTGGAAACGATTAGATTCGATGGTTGCGACTATACTACTCCAATTATCTCGTGCAGGCCATGACGAAGTTGGGGAAAGAAGAGCTCCCCCGACGACATCTGCCGGCTGGCGTTAGTTCGGGCGACGGCGGCACCGCTGCCCCTCATTCTTCCGAGGCTGAACACAGACCCGCCACTACTACGCGTGTACGCTACGCTTCGAGACGTGGAGGACCATCAATGCATGCAGTACCTAAGTACTCACCCACATCAGAAATCATGCTAGCTTGCTGAAGATGAAGTTTTTGTGATGCTAATTCTCTTGATGCTACCCACGTATCCTCTATGCCCAAGTATTGTGTATCGGTCTAGTCGTACCAAATAGCATTCATACCAAAGCCTTTCTCACCAATCTCCAATCTCGCAACTCTTGCTAGAAATTCATCCTGCCATCTATATATCTCCACGCCACCCTTCTCGTCATCTGTCAGCGCTAACCACTCATCGGACCAAGGACACGGCGATACCGCATTCGAGTGACCACCAGAGGTCGGCGTAGGGTTGAGGCAGATTTGTCGCTCAATGGCGCCTGAGGGAGCGATCTTGAATGCGGCAATGTAACCCGTGAGGGAGAAGGAGTTGGATCGGGAGGTTGCGAAAAGGTAGTTTGAGGATTTGGTGAGGAAGCAAACATCGGAACGGTACATCGTGGTTGCATTGGGGATACCTGAGCGCAATAGTTAGTGACTGGGATAGCCGGGAGTAGGAGGTCGACTTACCAGGTGGGATCAATGGGTACGTCTTGTGGGTGTAGACAGGCAGTTTGGTCTGCGGATCAATCACGTACTCGCACAACCGATTCCCTCCCTCCATCAAGGCATATAGATAGTTGCCCGACGGATGCATCTCTACCCATCTTGGATGGTCTTTCGGAGCAGGTGCCTCAGTGAAGCCTACTGTTTCAAGCCTTCCCTCGTCATCTATCTTCTTATGGCACCAGACCCGATTGGCCCACATGTCCGCGCTGTAGAGATGTGTCTCTGAGGGGTCGAAGACCATACCGTGGATGGCAGTCTTTTCGCAATACTCGAAGTTCTGGATGTTCTCTTTGATGTGACCTTCGGGGTTGACTGAGAAGATGTTGCCGTAGCCAGCATAGTCGTAGAAAGGGTTGCAGTATACGGCATACGGAGGCTTCTGGGCGGGAAGGAGGAAGATCGCACGCGTCTTGGTGTCGGCATCATTTGCTTTGGCTGTGGAACTTGTCAGTATCAGCAACCTGCGTTGATGTTATGTCGCTTACGATGTCCGCCCATTGGAAAGCTTCCTGTGTGTACAATCTCACTCGGGCTCTTGACCTCGTGCGAGCTCCATTTCTTCAT